GCAGACCCTCAGGCTCTTTGCAGATGGCCTTCCCCCAGAACAGTCGTCTTCTGTCTCATCAGGCAGCTTTTGTCAGTCCTGCTTACATGCTCTGTCTAGTTCAGGCTGGGAGCTCCTCAGGGCTCAAAGACCTCTCACCCTCTCCTGTCCCCCAAGTGTCCTGTGCACCAGAAGCAGGACAGAAATAGCAAATCACCATCAAAGTGATCAGGAGGAATTTGGGAGAGGCGTGTTTCACACAGCAAGGAAGGAAACATTTGTGGCTGCAGCAGGGAGGGCTGCAGCGAGTGGACAATGTCACAATCCCCTCTGTCCCCTACTTGGGAGTTTGAGGAGAATAATTTGATTGAAAGGCAAATCCTTTAATCTGCAGATATAAATCAGCAGAGTGGCAGAATTGCTGAGGATGGAGCATATCATATAGGGCATATCCTGTATGTCTTTTCCCTTTAAACAACCACAGGCCCTCCAGCTGTTAACCTATTTATAAAAGGTAACTTAAGGCTACACACGAACTCCTGAGGACATTTCATTCTGTCATTACAGCACAGACTCGATTTTTCTGCCTCACAATAATTGGGCTTGGTCTATGAAGGCCCAGGCTAGAGAAGAGATCAGCTCTGATACTAAAAGCCCTCTGCAGAGGAGCAGGATGAAGCACTCCAGAAGGTTGCCCTGTGCTTCCTAGGACAAGGCTCTGCTTGGAGAAACCATGAAGCAAATATCAGCTACTGCATCCTGACAAGCCTCTGCAGGTTCTCCTCTTCCCACATGTGAAATCCCAAGCTCCTGTTCCTGTGCTGCGTGTGGGAAGTGTCCCAGGTCACTCACAGCAGGACCTGTGGTGCAGGACAGCAGCAGCAGCTGTATTTTTTGGGACCTCTTGGCAATGGAAGTCACTGTCCCAGCCTCAGTGCAGCCCCCACCCACCTTCCTCCTCCTCCTCCTCTGTAGCCCCACACCACGTTCCAGTGATGGAGAGGTCCCAGATCAGGAGATCACGGGGTGTGCCAGCTGCAAGGCAAATCCCATGACCAGTCAGAGAGCCTTGACAGGTCTCTGGGATGGCAGGGATCCCTGGCTGACATTCCATGCCTGCCATTGTGCTGGAGTCAGCTTTGATGAGCAGAACAGCCCTGTCTGGCTGGCAAATATCTGCCAGTGACCCACAAGGCTTTTGTTGTTTCCAGAACAGCGTCCTGCCTCATTGAGTAGGTACCTTCCCCTTGCATCCCTGATCCATGATAAGGGAGTGATGAGACATTTGTTCTGTAAGAGTATTCAAATCCTCCAAGCTGCTTACAGACTTTCAAAAGTGAATGAGCTGAAATTTCCTGAAAATGAGAGTCAATGGGTGCTGCTCCAAGTGTGGAGGCAATTCCCTGCTCCACTGAAACCCTTTCCAGCTCTGCTTCATGAGTTTTTCTCCCTGATAGAGTTCGGGTTCATTACCTATGGCTGCAGTGCTGGCACTGAATTTTGGATGTGACCCCTGCCCGGGCTGTGCTGCCTGTGTGGAAGGAGTGAGGCATGTGAGGAGTGACAGCTCAGCCCTGGCAGCACCACTTCCCCAGAGCCAGACAGACCCTGCTGGGCACCACATCCCTGCCTTGAGCAGGGAATGATGAACTCGTGCCAAAGGGGCAGGGAAGCTGCCTGCTTCCTCACTGCTTATCTGCAGCACTTGTGCTGTCAGTGCCCTGGGATGGGCTGTGTCACCCAGCGTCCTTCATTTGCACCGGTTCCCATCAAAGCAGTGACAAACGAGCCTTCCCCAAACCCAGCTTTCCCTTTCCAGCTCTCCCAGTGCCTCACCCAGCACGGGTCAGGCCCTACCTGCCTTGCTGGGCTAATGGGGCTGGCCAGGAGTGACTCCTTAGGGAGATGAGCCAGGCCCTTTCCCTTTTCCACAGCCACTTTCCCTGTCTGGCCTCATGAAAGGGCAGAGCCATTGCCTAAACACCTTCTCTCCTGCCACCAACCCCACCAGACAAAATCCCCTCTTCTGCTGTCACACCTGTGGCATCTCACAGATTTTGTCTGCCTTGCATTGAGGATGTTGGTTCATGCTGCCCTCCCTTCCAGGCCACATGGAGACTCCAGACTCAGAGTCTGGAAGTGGAGAAATGGGCTATTCTCTTTAGAGGGACAAACAGAGATAAAGGAGATGCTTTGAATTTTTGCACAGGTGAAGTATGTGGGGAGGCAACAAACAGAGTGTGGCCTGAAGTTACTCCCAGGAAGCAGAGAATAGATGGCAGATTTTAAACTAAACCAAGGAAGTTTCATATTAAACAGTGCCGTGGGAAGCTGTGCTGAGCTTGGGTGGAATTCCTTCCTTCCTTCCT